TGTTGGGGGCAATATGCTGACTCTGTAAACCGCTTAGAGAGGCCTGAAAGCCCTATGAAGCGGTATATAAGTCTAACTGCTATTGCTATTGCTACTGGGGTCGAAAAGCTCAATAAATTGCATGCCGGTGGGTGTCACACTTTGGTGGTTGGGACGCATATTTTGAGCGACAGGGAGCCACAGCAGAGGGATGAAAGAGCCACATTGTGGCTCCAGAGATGTGGGTTGCTGATCCCTCTGCTAGACCGAACTAGCTCAAATATTCTGTCCTGCTAGGAGTGTTCAAACTACAGGTGGGACACAACTGAATTTCTCCACCACAAATCTATGGGCAGAAAAATCCTCAACCCAGGAGGACTCTTGGAGAAAGAGAATTTTTCTTCCTTCAGGATCCCAAGGAAGAAATTCCTTCTGGATTTCATCCCTTGAGGTGCAACAGGATGAGGGGGGGGGGATGGCTGGGAGAAGACCAGACAATGCAAAAGAGGACTTTCGCACCCGTTCATTGGTCACTTCCTTACAAAACAAGAGCAAGAAGATCACGCTCAAGAAAATACCTCCAAGATTGTCTTCTCCTTTGGAATAATTTCTAAAGCAAAACTCTGTATGTGAGATCTGGCAGGAGAAATGCAGGAGAATTTCTGATTCTCCTTTTAGCCCGCCTAAATTTTTTTATGAAAGTTTGAAAGTTGAGCAGTCTCTCATTTCGCTACTGATCCCTCCAAACTATGAAAGGTGTTCATTTCCCCCCAACACATTTTGAGAACCCAGAAGCCCAGGTGAGAAGGGAACATTTCGCAAAAGCTGGAAAAAGGCGCTCACTCATCTGTGTCTTTTTTGCTTTCCTCGATCTGCGCGATGGATTCTGATCGGAGGCGATTGGTCACTTCGTATGTGCGTAGAGTGACCCCAAAGATATCTTCGTGGTATCGGTTGTCATCCTGCAAAATGATATGTTTGTGGGGAGGGGAGAGAGGGAGAGGAGGAGGAAGAGGGAGAGAAAAACAGAAGAGAGAGAAAAATAGAGAAAAAAGAAATTAGAGAAAGATAGAAGGAAAGAGAATGAGAAATAGAGAAACAAAGGAGAGGGAGAGAAACAGAAGAAAGAGAGTGAGAGTAGGAGAATGAGAGAAAGACGGGTGAGGGTGAGAGAGAGAG